GTCAAACCAAACTTGCTTTCATATAATAAATCCAAGCAGATAACTTTTTTATTTCTTCTATTTTCAACCTATTGTTTTTGTATTAATAATCACAAGACATTGGTTTGAAATTTATTTTTTATTAGAATGACCTTGCCAGGTTTTGTTAGTGAATCCTATGCCTTAAAAAAGAAAAGAATGGAAATGTCTTGTGTGGGTTTTTTTTCCAGTCTCAAGAAGAATTCGTGCAATTTTAGAGTTAATTATTCTAATGTGTTGGTAGATTTTTCTAATAAGGCCACATGTATTGAATTCTTCTGATGGGCAAATTTGAATTATGGATTCAGCATCTATAATAGTTATAAGACCATATTTTCTACTGATTATAGCAAAAATATTTCTGAGGATTTATTATCATCCCCATTTTCAAAAATTTTACATGCAATTATATTTAGGATTCTCTTATTATTTTTCTATAATCTGCCTATTGTTGTATCTTTGCATGTCATTATCTGATGTCTTGATTAGATTTAATGACCATTGCTTTTTGTTTTGTTTTCCCCAAAGAAGCAAATTTTTGTTGGATCAGGCCTCTCTGCTATATTTTTTGGCCATACATAAATTTTAGATTTGGTGTGGAGGGATTTTTTTTTAACTTTCTAAAATTGCTAAGCAGCTCATTCTTTTCTTGCCTTTGCTTCTTACACATTACATGAAATCAAATTCCCTCTAAACAGAAATTTAACTATTTTCTATCAACCCAAAATTTGTAGGGCTGACATGGTGGTGTACATCTGTAATTCCAGTACTCTGAATGTAGAGGAAGGAAGGATTGTGAGTTCAAGGTTAGCCTGAGACTTTGTTGGAAACACCAATAACAAGGAAAGATAAAATCGAATTTTGACATGGAATATATTATTATCCTTTCCAAAACATGTTATTTCATTTATAATTTTCATTTCTCATATATTTTTAAATGTTTTTATCTAAACTCAATCAAATTATATTTATCAATTTCTAAGCATATGAATGTTTTTAATCCTACCATCTAGATGAACTTCAGGTCCTAATTTTTTTTACCATCTATTCTCTTGCAGAGAGAAGCATTGTTTATTTCCCAATATCTTTTTATTTTTAACTTCCTCTTTATTCATATATATTTTATTGTAAAAATACTGTACAGACGGATTACAGTTACATGAATACGATAATGAATACACTTCCTATCAAGCATTATTACCTCCTTTGCTTTTCCCCTACCACCTCCCCAACTTCTCTTTCCCCCTCCCCCGAAATTGTAGTTTGTTTTCAACATAATGTCTTGTATATCTCATTGTTACAATGGGTCAACCTGTATCCTTATTTAAGCATTTTGTTATTTCCCTTCCCCTCCCCAAATTATAAAAATTTATATACAAGATACAGACACCGGAATCAGATACAGTGAAAACAGGGGTTATACCTTGTAGGAAGGACATACAAAAGAAACAAAAGAATCACATAATGCATAAGTACTTAACTTCCTCTTTTTTAGCATATGATGCTGAGGAAAAAAGCTGACACTAACACAAGATCTAGTTTCTGAAATATCTCCTCCAAACAATGTACTTTTCAAATTATTTTCACTGTATCTTTTGCTCTGCAAATACTTTCCTTTTTTGTTTTTTTTAATTGTGAAAAAACTGTACAGAGGGGTTACAATTATATGGGCAAGATAATGACTACATTTCTTATCAAGCATTGTAGCCTCCTCCTTCCCATCCCTTGCCATCCTACTCCCCCCCCACCCAATCCTCCTCCCCCCCCGCCATCCCACCCAAGTTGTAAAGTTCATTTTCGACATAACGACTTGTACATCTCATTTGATGTCAGTATAATTTGTGGAGGGGAAGGGAAAAAACAAATCGTTTAAATAGGGATACAGGTAGACCCATTGCAAACGCTTTCTATAGTCTGTTTGGTTTGGTTTGATGGGTTGGGTTTTCAATTCTTATTGTTGACATCAGCAGAAGGATGTTGTGAGTTGTGTTATGCCAAGAGTCCTAGATAGGTAAGTCAAGATCTCAATTTTAGGATGATGTCCAAAAAAGAAATGTACTTATCACCAGGCTTAGGAAATAGTAATCCCTCTACACAACACCTTAATAATAATAATGCAAATATATGTTTTTTAAAAAATCCCAATTGTATTTAATAGTTCATTTGAATGCTCAGATACCACGTAAAAGAGCATTTTATTGGGATTCCCTATGAATATTGTGACTATCAAAATTGTACATCATAAACGACAGATGAATCAACTCCACAAATACTGTTTCGGATACATGAAACCAACTTACCAAGGTTAAAGGAAACAAAGTTCTAATTAGCCTTCTCAGCCATAAGCTTACATTTGTAATTCACACACTTTCTTTCTGTAGCTATCACCATGTTCACATGTGGCTATTCTTTGTTCCGTTAGTTATTTTGCTCAGGAAATCTTCGTGCGGATTTAAAAATAAATATCCCTTACCTTTCATCTTTTAAAAGCAGGGTGAAATTTTTCCTTTGGCTTTCAAGAAGAAAGTATCTAAAATGCGTTATAACTGCTTACATAAAGAAATACGTTTCAGATATCAGAGGTTAGTCTATTCTGTGTACCTTACGTTAGCAAAATAGCTCAGAACATAACCAAAAGGGCTGTTTACACTAGATTTTAAAATTGGCATATTTAGATACTATATTGGACATGAACTATACAACTTCTTGGTGGGAGAGAGCAAGGGAAGGGTTGACATTGTCCAAAAAGAAATATATTCTTGACTTATGTAACTAACCCCTCTGTACATCACCTTTATAACAAAGATTTTTAAAAAGTGAACATATTGCACAGTGAGAACTAATGGTTAGAGCAAAATTATACCTGAGATAATATAATCAATTGACTCTGAGAATAGTATCATCGCCCTAATTTATTTATTGAGTATAAGCCTAATTTCTTTTAGAAAGTTCATTTGTATATCATATTCAGCATGTATTAGGTTGTCAGGGTGGCCAAAACAAAAGATCCATGAACTTCTTGGTTTAACAAGAGAGATTTACCTCTTTACAAACCAAGAGCCTGGAAACTAAAGATTAAACTTTGAGCAGTTTCCCTTTAGCATATAGTCTAGCATTCTTTCTGTCTCTGAGGCCAGAGCCTCTGTGCATATGCAATCCTGTTGTCTTTTCTGCTTTGTTTGTTTGTTTGTTTGTTTATCATCAAGGGGCTTGAACTCTGGGCCTAGGTGCTGTCCCTGAGCTCTTCAGCTCAAGGCTAGTGTTCTACCCCTTGAGTCACAGCACCACTTCCCGTTTTCTGGTGGTTAACTGGAGATAAGATTCTCATGGGCTGGCTTTCAATCACTATCCTCATATCTCGGCTCCTGAGTAGCTAGGATTACAGACATGAGCCATGGATGCCCAGCTTCTCCTGCTTTTTTTAATGACACCAGTCATGTTGGAAAAGGACTACACTTTTATGAGTTCATCTTTGCCCTAATTACTTCTTTAAAAAGTCTTATCTTGGGCTGGGAATGTGGCCTAGTGGTAGAGTGCTTGTCCAGCATGCATGAAGCCCCAGGTTTGATTTCTCAGTACCACATACACAGAAAAATCTGGAAATGGCACTGTGACTCAAGTGGTAGAGCACTTGCCTTGAGCTAAAGAGCTGAGGGATAGTGCCCAGGCCCAAAGATTAAAAAAAAAAAAAGTCTTATCTTTCAGTACTACTACATTGAGGATTGGAGTTAATCACGTGGATTTTGGAAGTATACAATTTAGGCTGAAACATGTAGGACAAATAATATGTTACTCAACATGTAAAGTTTGATCAAGAGAATACCATGCTAGGATTTTATTTTTTTTATGAACATAGTTATGAAAGGCTACTGTTGGAACTTTCCAGAATGTAAATAAGAAAACCATAGAAGATGTTCAGTCATACAACCTACAACCAAAAGTCAATGACTGGGTGTTGAGGGTCAGTGGTAGAAGTAGGGTTGAGAGGGTTGATTTCAAGGTAAAGATGACAGGAATTGTTACATGTTGGAAAATGCTTCAGGTTTTGATCTGAGAAATGAAGTGAAATAAGGGTGTTAATATTTCCTTGGATGCATTGGACTGTGTTGATAAGGTTAATTTAGGGAGTAAAAGGAATTTAGATGTGATGGGTTGGAGATCCTCATCATGTTATAAGTGAAAATTGTGTACAGGTTTATAGTGATTTAAAGGCGTAGGCCTAGAAATACAAATTTGAATGTTATCCATATTGGTTATCCAAAGTCAAGGAACTGGTCAAGATTACCCAGGATGTAGACAGAAAACGGAAGCACTGTAAAGACCAATGACAAGAATATTCTAGAATTTAAAGGATGGGAAGATGGATTCTACAACAAGACTTTAAGAGTGGCCACGCACTTAAGTTGAGAAAGGCAAATGGGATGCCTTAAAGCTGTCAGCAGTAGATACAACCCTAAGATCATGAAAGGTTCACATTTAGAAAATCACATAACTATAATCCTTCCGATGCTCTTTAACTAGAAAGCCAACAAGTTGTGTTACATATACACATAGCAAACTTTTCTATTTGTGAAACAGATTTGATTATGACCTTTTCCAATAGGCATGCAGGGTATTATGGTCAAACCAAAGCATCCATAACATAACCTGTAACTACTGAATAATCAAGCCCTCATAACAATGTGTACGTCTGTGAATATAGTCAGAGTGTACTTCATTCTATAACTGTGCAGGAAGGAGGAAAAGTTATCCTTTAAACATACTATATTAAGTATTTGTCATGCTCTTTTTTTTTTACTGTCTGACATATTTCTCAGAAGACAGATTCCAATAGGCCGTAGTAAATGTATAGCAATCCAGGCTGATGTTAAATAGAAAGGTTTCTCACTCCTTCAAGTTATGTGTTGACTGAGTGTGAATGACCTTAGATTCTCAATAAAAGCTGCTGATATTCATTTCCTGTTTGCTTTTTCCCCCCACAGGTGGGGAAGTCCCGTATACCACCCTGGCCACCCGGATGATGATGGGGGCATGGTGGCTCTTTGCTTTGATTGTCATCTCATCCTACACAGCAAACCTGGCCGCTTTCCTCACCATCACCCGCATCGAAAGCTCCATCCAGTAAGTAGACAAAGATTCCATTAGCCACCCAGCACTAGGAAAGCTGTCAGTGGCTATCTGAGAATAAGGATATAGTATCTAATAAGAAATTGACACAGCTGAGAATCTGCAACTCACTCCTACAATTCTAGCTACTCAGTAGGCTGAGATTTGAGGATTGCACTTCAAAGCCAGACTCAACAGGAAAGTCTGTGAGACACTCATCTCCACTTACCTACCAAAAAGCCAGAAGCAGAGGTATGGCTCAATTGGTAGAACACCAGACTTGATTGAAAAAGCTGAGGTAAGCATACAAGGATGTGGGGGGGGAGAGGAGAAGAGAGAGAGAGAGAGAGAGAGAGAGAGAGAGAGAGAGAGAGAATTCACAACCTCCTCCTGAAAAAAGACTTGATTCAGTGGTTTTGTAAAACATAATATTGTTTATAATTAGGAAGTTGCTTTCCACATTTTCCTGGAAGCATAACACATTTTCAGCATTTCAACCTCTACAATGACTGTGTCTGGGAAGCACTGAGCAAAAGGAAGGACCACTGAGTTCTATGAAAAACAAAATGTCTTTGCTTTCATCTGTGTCCCATTGCATGCTGTCAGAGTAAATAGTTGAATCCACACAGCTGAATGAGCCAAACACAAAGCACATCCTGGAGAGTGAGAGGTTACAGAGAAAGGGAGAGGAGGGAGCTAGAGACAGGAAAAAAAGGAGAGAGGGAAGGGAAGAGAGAGAAACGAGAGAAGAGGAGGTCTGTGAACGAAAGAACCTAGTGTTTTCAGTCATTACATTCTGGTTGCTTCTTGCATTATGATTATGGTCAATATTGGTGCCGTTTCTTCATCAATAGTTGCAATGGTGGGACATGATCATTGGTGTAGCACACTTACTTAAAATCTAGATGCTACCAAAGGCAATGCCTGAATTTACAAATGCCTTTCCATGGGCCCTTGGAGCTCCAAGGCATTTGACTGGTGATGGCCAATCTTGCCTCTATGGTTCATGCTATAACAGCAACATAACACATTTTTTTTCCTATTGAAACACATTTCTCTGCTTTAAGAATTTAATCATGCCCTGAGAATGCTTTTTTCATTCAAAAATAAGACAGTTTTCATATGTTTTAAAGCTGAACATTTATTTCTCATAAGGCTTACAATTCAAACTGAGGACAATTATCTATGGCAAAGAATTTCTTGAGGGTTTAATTTTTCTTTAAAAGAAAGCATGAAAGTTCTTCTTGCCTTCAAAAATGTGTAAATGAAGTCCGTTAGTAGACATTCAACTATTGTAGAATAATACTAAAAGATAAAAGCATGTGTTAATTCTCTATATAAAGACTAGGGTGTTTTTCTTCAATTTGCTTATAAAAATTGAAGCCACCCCCCCCCAAATTGAGCCAGTAATGCTAATTGACATTCCATTATTTTCTCCATTTATGAAAATGATGTTTCTTCTAATTTCTCTCATGGAGTCATGCTCTTCAAGTGATTTTTTTTGTTATCCCTTCAGTACAAAAATTTCACTTTCCAAGTTTATTCCCTTTATAGCCAGTTCTATGGGCTGAATAAATTTATAAATGGTACAAAAAGAAATCTCCAAAGATTAAACTAGTGACCCCATCAGCACTGTACTTTTAGCAATCATGAACATGGCTGCAACCGCCTAAAAGAAATTCAATGAAATTAGTAATGCCATGGAAATAACCGCTAACATTTATTGATCATTTATATGATACCCAACTTTATGTTAACTGTTTTATACTCCTTGGCTCAGTTAATCCTCTTAGCCATCTTCTAAATACATACTATCATTAACTCACTTTGCAAATAGCAAAACTGTAAGTTGGAGGAAAAAGAAATTATACTAAGCCACACAATTCCTAAGTAACTGAGTGAAGACTAGATCTTTAATCTTTCTAGCTCTTGAACCTGTATTCTAAGTTTGCCACACCAGATCTCATTTCAGACATTTGAACTTCTGAATGGTACTTGTTTGGTGTATATGCACCAGTTTGAAGGCTTGAACTCAGGGCCTGGGCATGGACCCTGAGCTTTTTTGATGAAGGCTAACACTCTACCTCTTGAGCCTCAACTCCATATCCAGCATTTTTTGATATGGATAGATAAATAGCTAGATAGCCAGAAGGGATAGATAGATAGATAGATAGATAGATAGATAGATAGATAGATAGATAGATAGATAGATAGATAGATAGATAGATAGATAGATAGATAGATAGATGGATGGATAGATGGATAGATGGATGGATAGATAGATAGATAGATGGATAGATAGATAGATAGATAGATAGATAGATAGATAGATAGATAGATAGATAGATAGATAGATAGATAGATAGATAGATAGATAGATAGATAGATAGATGGATGGATAGATGGATAGATGGATGGATAGATAGATAGATAGATGGATAGATGATAGATAGATGGATAGATGGATAGATGGATAGATAGATAGATAGATAGATAGATAGATAGATAGATAGATAGATAGATAATCAGAGATAAGAGTCAGCCACAGACTTTCCTTCCCCGGGCTGGCTTTGAACCACAATCCTCAGATCTCAGCTTCCTGAGTAGCTAGATTACAGGCATAAGCTACTGGCACCCTGTAATACTTTCTTTTAAAAACATTACAAAAGATGTGCCTTACTGATTGCTAAGGATGAGGATGTAAATGATCATGGTCTCCAAATTCTCTGCTGGTTGAGGAAAGCACTGACTTTTGTGTTGGGCTAGTTCTGTGGGCCTATATCCCAACATGAGCTAAGTGTGCCTATAACTGATATTTGCTACTCAAAGAGTTTTTGATGAGTCCAACCAATATTTTTCAATAAATGAAAAGTATTTACTTAACCATAAAGATATATATGTATGTATTATATATTTTATAATAACTGCCAGAATCACATTAAGACATCCATCACCCCTCATGCTATGAATTAGACACCCTCCCTCCCCACGGTCATCTGAAAGTTGAAAGTTTGGCCAATATCTCCTCATTTTTACCATTCCACACCCCTTGGAAGCCATTCTTATGCCCCCTCCTTTGAGGAATTTGAGGTTTTAGATTCTCTTTATAAGTCATATACTAATTGTTCTTCTATATCTGGATCACTTCACCTAGAGTAATGGTTTACAGATTAACCCATGTTGTTGCAAATAATAAATGGCAAAATAGCTCTTTGTAGGTTAAAATGGAATGCTTACCTTATTAGCATACTTGTTGTCAATGTTTAACTTGTTACAGTTTGGGTATAATTAGAGCTAAAAATCTTGACATCTGGCTTTCACGAATTTGTAAATAAAGAACATTTTAAGTACAATAACTGTCTTGGTAATAAACCACAATAATAATCATAGCCATAAACAAAAATTATGGCTAACATTATTAGAAGCCGGATGTTAAGCATATTACATCTATCATTGCATTTATTTTTTACAATAACCCTTGTGATGAGTACTATTATTTTGGAAGAAGAAGTATATTGAGAGTTAAATGCTCAGTCAGTCTCATAAGCTGGAGGTCTAATGCATAACCAATGTACATTAATCTAATGCTAATGTGTAGTCTTCCCCTCTGAAGTCTTTTCCTGATCGATTGATGAGTCCTATAAGTTTCTTGATCTGCTGTTTCTCTGAATTTATAGACTTTAGAATGTGTGCACGTATCTAGCCATTTAGCCACTATATTATTGACCTGCATCCGTTTGTATCCATACTTTCTCTTCTTTAGTTTGAATTATCATACCTTTGTAATAAGCAGGACTTCTATTATGATATTTCTACAGTGTCCCACAATACATTTCGAACAAATTTACTCCTCTGCCCTAATTTCTTTCCTCCTTTCCTTCCTCCCAGTATCTTGACTTCTATACTATGAGAATGGGAGTAGAAGCCATTTTAAAATGTGTATGTCCCCAGGTTTCTCTAAAAAAAAAAAAAAAAGTAAAGCTGAATAGAAAAGTGATGATTTCCACTGATCATTCCCTCAAGAATAATTCTCCGATTGAGCACACATTCTGTAAAAGTTACTCCTTCTCAGTGCCAACTGGCATTGTTAAAGGCATTGGTGTGTACGATAAATCTCTGCTTCCTTCTCGAATTATCACTGGAATAATTTTGGAAGGGAAGCATCAAAGCCAAATAAGTGAAAAGAAGTCTCATTTGCTCCCAAATTCCCAGAAATCTCCTAATTTCATGCCTCAGCTGAGTGGCTAAACATTTGCCTGCGATATTTCTTGAAAACATACAAAGTTCCATTTGCCTATGTTTCTTGAAGAATTCTAACATTTCCTGGAAAATACAGAAACACTTTTCATGGTACTATTCGGTGTCATGCTTTTTAATCACTTATATTCATAAGATTTTTCCCGTCACTAAATCAAGCCACACTTGTTAATGAACCTTTCTCAGTCCAATTTTTGCTAGGCCATCAGGAAACCTATATAGGAAGCATATCTTCATTTCCCAAAGTCAAAGTTTCTTCTCCAGAACAATAAGGACAGAGAGGATTAATGGTATGTCACTGAGAGAAAAAAGAAAAATTAGTTCCTTTAGAACAGATGGTTGGCAAAAAAAAAAAATCTTATCGCTTAGTGGGAGAAATCCCATAGATGGGTTCTTAGGCAGCACAATACTTATTTTGTTAATATGAGCACTTGAACTCAGTGCTTGCCAATTCTTTGGCTTGATTACTTTGCTGCAACTCTTGCATTTGAGCTAGACCTCTCGTCCTACTTTTAGTTAGTTTATTTTGGAGATAGAGTCTCTTGGACTTTTCTATCCTGGCTCTGGCTTAGAACTCCAATCCCCCAGATTCCCTCCTCTTGATTAGACAGGATTACAAATGTTAATCACTGGCATATGATGAAGGAAACTCAATACAATTTACAAAACTTTACCCCCTTTGCAGAATTAGATATCAGTTGGTATCTAATCTGGTAGGAACAACATGCCATTGCAATACAATAAAATAAAAACCTGAA